TGTTCACTTAAAGTCTGACCAGGCAACCCAAGATTGGTCCTGGTCTTTATTCTAATTTTTAAGGTTTTGTTTTGTCTTTTTTGTGTGTGGGGGGTATTTTCCCTGTGTACATGTGAGTGTACCAAGTGGATGCCTGTGGGTGCTGAGAATGGAACCCAGGCTCTCTGCAAGAGCAGCCAGTGCTCCTAACTACTGAGCCCTCTCTCCAGACCCTCTTTTTTTTCTAACATTAAAAATCGAAACAGAGGCCTGCTGGTGGCCCAGTGGTTGGCATCATACATGGATCTTGGGTTTGTGGAAAGGAGAGGCTTCTTTGGTTCCCAAAGAAGCTGTGCTGCCATGGCTGGCATGTTTAGAAATTAATGACTATATTTAAATACATTTAATTCTCTAGAAAAGGGAATCTTAACAGAGAGGATTAGCCGGGCTTGGTGCTAGTGTTAAGGCTGACTTTAGCTCTCCAATGTGGAGTCAAAAAGATACGCATTTAGGAACTCAGCCAGAGAGTGGACAGCAGAGCTGCAGCAGCAGTCAGCAAGCCTCCATTATCTGTTATTCCGACGAAAGATGTTCTCCTTCAATACAAATGGTGAAGATGCTTTATTCAAACAAGACAGCCCTGGCTGCTGAATTCCTTCACAGTCTTATTCACTGCTCCCTTGAAAGCTCAAGCATGCCTTTTTTAGAGCAGCCATTAATGGTATCTGTACATCAGAGTGACAGTTCAGCTCAATAGTCAGGGTGGGACATAAAACAGCCCCAGGAACAAGGTAGAAGAAGACAGGGTGGAATCTGTTCCCACACCCATGTCATCAGACACAGAAACTGGGGAGTCACTGTTTCTCAAGCACACCACTCTTCAATTTTCAGACAATAGAGATAAGTTACTGATAACGTGTTATTTCACCAGGGATGAGAAAATTGTTTCTTGGGTTTGATTCTGTTTCCAAGAAGACTTAATGAACAGACACAAATCACAGTGGGACTCCCCCAGCTGAGCCAAGCTGGTTTGCAGACAATTCAGTACATTCAGAACTTGGAGAGTGCATTCCCATCGTCCCTTAAGATGCTGTCATAGCTCATTATAGATTTCTTGCATTGTTTCTTTCTTTCTTTTTTTTGTTTTTTTGGTTTTTCAAGACATTGTTTCTTAACACTGCATTAAAATATTATTACTGAGTAGTTAGTCATTGGTAGTGCACGCCTTTAATCCCAGCACTCAGGAGGCAGAGGCAGGTGGATCTCTGTGAGTTTGAGGCCAGCCTTGTCTCCAGAGTGAGTGCCAGGATAGGCTCCAAAACTACACAGAGAAACCCTATCTCGAA